AGGTGCATTTTGAGCCTCATTAATAAGAACTTTTGTAATTCTAGATACATCATTGAAGCCATCAGGTGTTTCATTTGCGATCCGTTTTAGATATAAAATCTTAGCAACTTCAATTTCAGTGAAAGATGTCTTAAGAATCGGGATTCATTGTAAATGTTTCTAGTGCTTCAAATACAAGTACTTTATTTCTTTGCTGATTTAATACTCCTCCTTGAAGAAATGGAAATATATTTTCTCCAAAACGGCAAATTTACAAATGTGGACATAATAATGTGCCAGTTGATGGATGAATAATATGAATAATGCTTAGTGAATCAAAACCAACACATATGTCTTCTTCTCAATGAGCTCCAATGGTATGCCATTGAGGTTTTGGTACTGGAATCCAAGCACGGCAACCAAATACTTGTAAGTGAAATACATTTGGAACATGACCCAAAATGAGTTCATGTGCTGGAACAATTTCAAGAAAAGAAAGGCGGAGGCATATTAATGTTGCAGCATGTAAAACTACATGACCCCACATAGATGCAAGTAAATTTGTGTGAAAGAAGAGTGGCTAGGTAATGAGTTGTATATGCTTTATAAATGACTCTGCAAGTCCATTTTGAACATGTTCATATGAAACACAATATATGAAGTCAATTCTTCTTACAGTACAATAGTCTTTTAAAGACTTTGATGCAAATTCTTTTGCATTATCCATATGCAATATTTTTATAGTATAATCAGAAAAATGTGCTTGAAAACAAATAAGCATAGATATAAGATTGGCAAACACCATATTTTGATGTGATAATAATGAAATATGTGATTGTTTACGTGATGCATCAACAAAGACCAAAAAATAATGAAATGGTCCCGATATTGGATTAATAGGATGACAAATATTACCATACAATCTTTTAAGCATTAGTGGTAATTCTTATAGGAGTTTCCAAATTGAAGGCCAAGTAATCATCTTACCTTGCATGCTTGCACGGCATAATTTCATGGAGTCTACATCTACATGCTTTAAATTGTGGCCAATTATACATAGAATGATCTTTCTAAATAATGTAGATCTTGGATGTTCCAATCATCCATGTCAGAGAGAAGCACGATTCTCTATGATAGATGATGCAAAATTAAATGTAATGGGAGGCCCAATTATAATTTGGTATAAACCATTTTCTGTAGCAAAAGCTTTTTCAACAATTTTATGATTCTTCGTAAGAACCAAAACTTCTTTTTTATTTAAAATTATGATTGAGAGGTGATAACTATTGATACATACATCTCGGTAGCTAATCAGACTCCAAGGTGCTGAGGATGCAAACATCGCATATTTATATTTTATGATGGAACTTGTAGGTAATTTTACTATCATTATTCCCACTTGTAGGTAATTTTACTATCATTATTCTCACTTAGAAACAAAACGTATTTGCTCTAGTCATAGTCATTATATTTTTAATTTTCCATAGTCTATCTTGCAAGATAGTATATGTTGTTGCAGAATCAATGAGCACATCATTTGATTCATCGTTAGAGGTTTTGTCATTCATCATTAGAGGTTGATTAGACTCCAAGGTGCTGAGGGTGTAAACATCACATGTTTACATTTTATGATAGAAATCCCAGATAATTTTACCATCGCTGTCGTACTGTAAAAGCTTAGAGTATGTAAAAATTAGTTAAAATATATTATATGTTAATAAATCTAGATATATGTTAGAATGATTAATAGATTAATTTAAAGAGAGTGGATTTAAGAAACTTTATTTTGAGTTTTATCTTTTTTGATTATAACATTTAAAACAATTGTAAGACTTAAATGTTTAGTATAGAGCCTAAAGAAGAAAATCTTAACTAATAGGAGGCTTATTGGAAGGGATGAAAGCAAGGCATGGTTGGATAAAGGCAACAAATGGAGAACTTCATTCCTATTGGTCAAAGGCCATGCCTAATGGGCTTGAAGGAGGCTGCCCAAGGCCTTATTAGAGATTAGGGTTTCTCTTTCGAAGTCATTCAAGCGTTGGAGGCTAGGATCAACAAGTTCAGGGTTTTGGATAAAATTTGGGTGAAGAGTGTGTGTGATTTCGAGTTTTTTTTGAAGGAGATATAAGTGTTCAAAGTTAAGGTGTCAAATCTATACCTACTGTCATCCTTAGAAGCATAACATATGCATACAGAGAGCAATGAAAGATCTACGACTAGAATTGGAGAGGACACTTTCTTGGCTACACTTTATATATATTGTTTGATTAATTCCAAGTGTAAATGAAGGAGTTATAGGGCATTGAAGACAGCACATGTAATTCAAAGGCAGTAAGTGAGTCATTTCGTTGATAGTAATGGTTGGAGCCATATCTTGAGTTTCTGGACGAATTTTTGGCTCAAAACTTCTATAAATGTGAGTTATTAAGTTAAAAAGCTATAGATCAAAGTTTTATTGTATTTAAATACTTATTTTGTGAGATATGAAGAAATTAGCATGCAGGTGTAAGTAAGCTAGGGTTTAAAGCTACTGTTAGGGTTTTGGCGATATCTCAAGATCCATAACAAATTTGCAGTTGAATTTTTTTTTGAAAGTTTTTGAAAGTATATCAGTACTTAATGTAAAATTAAGGATTTTTTGGACAATCCGATCGTGAGATATGAGCTATTGAAGTTCGAAAAACATCTCTCAAAAGAATATATAAGGTTTTAAGATCTTTATCACACATTTGGATGTTTTCTTGATACTTAGGCTTGTGTTTTGATGTAATTGCCCAAAAAAGAAAAATATTATATATATAAACTTGGATTTTTATATCTTAGACTTGATTGAGTATTTAGTGTCAACCAATAGCCCAACGCTTTCTTGAGGCAAACTCTCTCTACCTCGACATCGATGTATCTTCTTGAAAACAAAATGCATTTGCTCCAGCCATAGACATCATATTTTTAGTTTGCCAAGTTGAAGATTTTTTAATAAAAAGTTATCTATCTCGTAAGATACTATGTGTTGTTGCAGAATCAATGAGCACATCATTTGGTTCATCATTAGAGGTTTTGTCATTCATATAAGTCTCTAAATCATCAGCACCAATTGAATCCATGGATGCATCCATGGTATGAACTTCATGAGCTTCAACTTGTAGTTTCTTATTTTTTTGGAACATTTTAATAAAATATTGTGAAGTATGACATACATGTGCTAAATGTCCAATCATTCCACACTCATAATAAGAATGCATCTCTGATTTTTGTTTTCTACTATAATTAATAGTAGAATATTTATTCTTTTTATATGGATAAAAATGGTCATGATTATGACTACCCTGATACTTATGAGTATATTTTCCATGTTTATATAATTTTTTCTTAGACTTTGAAATATTAAGTGCATGAGATTTTGGAACTATGATTCCAATAGGATGAGCTTCTGCATTGCGTAAGAGTAGCTCATTTTGCTTCTCCAGAAGAAGTAGATAAGACATGAGATCAAAATGACTCTCAAATTTCATGTTCTTATTTTATTGTACAAGCATAGCAGATATAGGAGGAAATGTAGAGAGAGTTTTCTCAATCATTTCTTCTTCAGAGATGTTTTGTCCACATAATCGTAATTGTGAAACAATACTATATATTTCACTATTGAAAGCATTTAAAATTGGAAAATCCAAGACATGTAAATGTGTCTAATTATGACATGCGTGTGGAAGGAAAATGGTCTTTTGATGATCAAACCTGGATTTAAGATTCTTCCAAAGTTCTCTAGGATCTTCCATTTTCAAATATTGATGTTATAATGCAAGTACAAGATGACGACAAAAGAGAAGAAGTACTTTCCAATGAATAGCAAGAAGAATAGAAATACTTATTATAGGAGATTCTTCAAACATAATGGCATCAGAGAGTTGTTCTGCAAATAAATTTGCTTTTGCCATTTTTGCCCATAATAGATAATTGTTTCCATCCACAATCGATGGTGAAAATAAAAGAGCTTAAAAATGTTAGGATGCACTAGTTATAGTTGGAACCATAGTAGAAGTAGTTGAAGATGTTGAAGCACTCATTATAAATAAATCTATAAAGAAAATACAAGATCAAATAGAAAAGTTGAGTATAATGTACCTTATAATATAAAGTCAAATAAAATGATAAATTTGAACTTGAAAATCATAATTATTATTATTTTTTATTATTTTTTATTTTTAAAGAAGGTTGTGGATTGTGGCAACAAAGCAATAGTAGGACAACGGCAGCAAGCTGCAGCGATGGCAAGGCGGCAGCGGTAGAATGATAGGGTGGCGACGGTGGCGGGCGGTAGGGTGGTAGCGACTGGATCAACGGTAGTTGGCGGTCAATGGCAACGGCGAGGTTAATGGTGGTTCAGCGATAGTTGACGGTTAGTAATGACAGCTATTTGGCACTAAGCGCAGGGCACAACACAGAGGCTGGGCTGGAGCAAGTATTCTAAGCAAGTAGGGCAAAGAATGGAGTAAGTACTATAAGCAAGTAGCTAATGTATGAGAGGCTAGCAAGAAGTGCAGCAAGATCATGAATCAGATAAGAAGCAAGAGTAGCAACAGGTTTGAAGAGTCAAGACTAGAGCAAAAAAAAATTGTGATAGTGTGTCGTAGAGAGTCATGGTGATAAGGTGTTGAGAATGTTTAGAAAGACACAAGAATAGTAATAAGTAATGCACACACACACAAGAGTAATAGTAAGTAATACACACAAGAAGGTTTCTTAGGAGAGAGAGCTTCACACACAAAAATCTATTGATCTGGTTTGGTTGTGTCTTATATATAAGAAGAGAAGGGGATAAACAGTTCCTCTCGGCTACATTCCAATTACTGTAGCTATAGTATTTATTGTAGACTACAGTAAATATTTAGGGAGAGCAAGCTACATTTAATGCTCTCATCAACATTTAATGCTCTCAACAATTGCATTGGCATGCTGAAGTGGGTTCACACAGAACATTCGATTGGGAAGTCTCTCCGTCGTGCCTCTATTTCTCTTGGGTTCACACAGAACATTCGATTGGAAAGTCTCTCCGTCGTGCCTCTATTTCTCTTGGGTTCACACAGAACATTCGATTGGAAAGTCTCTCCGTCGTGCCTCTATTTCTCTTGTAGGGTGTTGAGCGTCTTTTGTGATTACAACGGAGCTGTTGATTCGGGTGGTGATAGTGGGTGCTTGGGATCCTGATTTCTCGTGTTGCTTGCGTATTTGCTCTGACCCAATTATCTGAGGGAACGTGTTCACTTCCGTTGTAAAGATTGGTCCTGAAAAGTATGCTCTGCACCGACTTCCGTCTCTGGCAGATATGGACCCCGATGACGCTTCGTAGACTGCATTAAACGACTTTGTTGTTACACTGTTGTGGATTGAATCTCCAATTAGCCATGGCAGTAGTCGCGCTGGCTCCATGTTTTTCGCCATTGCCGTTTTGCTCTATTCGTCCGGAACCCATTTGTAGTGGTAGAAAGTTACAAATTGTGCAATGTGCACAAGTGCGGAATGAACCAGGCATCCAAGGAGAGAGGCGGAAGTACAAGGACTCCTTTACCGATCTCGTGTTCATCAACGGATGCCGTGAAGCTTTCGGCAGAGTCGCAGGCTGGCAGGTTAGGCTCTTGTTCTGGAATTGCCTGTACATGACTTTGCTTATCCTTTCTTAGTTCCAACTGAGGTCTTGTGGGGGAAGTCCTCTTATTCACCAGATGATTTGTAACATTTCTCCATTTACAAATGCGTATTATAGTCACCACGGAGCTGGGAAGAAGGCTACGAGGGGATGGTGGAAGTCTCGCATGCTTTGGCGAGGAACAAAAATGCAGCAGAACAACAAGCCGCAGTACTTCGAGTAAGACACAATTTACCTATCCGTCTCTTTTATTATTTTCACTTCGCTGCTTGTGCATTTTTAGCTGTTCTACGGTAGGAATAATCTTGCGGTTTTTATGTTCGAGAACATGCACCTACGTGCGGGGCCTTTGCTTGGAAGACTTCTGAAGCTTTGCGGGGCATATATAACTTTGTCAAGCTCGCATTACTCTTCTCAATTTTGCGGAAGCACTTGCCTGCCTTTAGTCTTTACATGCCGCTGTTTAAACCAAGAAAGAGTCTAATTGAACCGGCACGACATTTATTACTGACGACAAAGAGATGAATTCACGTAATTAATTTGCAGTCCTCTTTGTCTTTCTGGGTCTAGGGTTTTCCAAAAGTGCCAGACTGGTTTCGAAAGCTGTTCCCATACTCAGACTGGGGAGCTGAGCTTAACGCCCGCATCACGCCGCTTTTCTTCTCATGGCTTGTCGGCCCTTGTGAGGTTATCACGCAACTCCAAATTACACTACAATCCGCATCTGTCACCCTTCCATTGCTTTTTCTCAAGATATACTGGAGATATGAACCTTGTTTCTAGATTCCATTTAACGCTGTTTGGTTGATCAGTTGTACTTGGTGATGCTACGCAGGTTGTGGAGGTGTCGGTAAACGATAAACCAATGAAAAGCGGCGTCCAAATCCAGAAATGCCGGTACCTCGAAACCAGCGGGTGCACAGGCCTTTGTGTGAACTCATGCAAGATGCCCACACAATACTTCTTCACGAAGGAGCTCGGCATGCCTTTGACAATGGAGCCCAACTTCGAGGACATGAGCTGTCTGATGATTTTCGGACAAACTCCACCTGCATTCGAAGACGACCTGGTGTTCAAGCAAAAGTGTTGCACCACATATTGTCCAACGTCAAGTCAAGCCTCAGAGGTGTGTCCGAAACTTAGGTGACTGCACAACCCAATTCTGTGAACATCTCATAGCTGTGTCGGTGAAAAACAAACTACTACAGTTGACGGCTTCACACATCCTGAGCATGATGTGTTAAGCATCACATTCACAGACCCTAACATAGTCTAAAAAACTCATCGTTCTACAAAGTATATATTTTTCAGAGAACTTGACAAGCTTTGTAATCTGAAGTGAACTGGGGTTATTCCACATGTAACGAATGCTATTCATTGATCTTTTGCCTACCAACCGCACCTATAGTTACGCAACTGCCACCTTTCTGTTGTAGAGTTGTGAAGCCCTAGAATCCATACCTACCTGCATGATATTCTCTATCATACCACTACCTGTAGTGTGATTTCAGACAGTAAGATGTATTTAACTCTAGAAGCATGCGTATCTAGTAGTTGAAGAGCAACTTATGCTGTGTGAAGATTTACTTTATTAAAGCTTTCGTCAAATAATAACAAAAATAACAGTAACAGTAGTTATAATTTTATATTAGAATTTCCACCTGTTCACACAATGTTGTGTAGAAGAAATTGGGTTTTTTTGGAAGTTGTGGAAAACATTTTTAGTCGATATGAATAAAACTGTATTAATCGCCATCCTTGCATTTATTCAACATATTCATACTGCTTTATTTTCTTTTATCAGAAACTAACATCTACGTTCATAACTGTTTGGCTCAATCACTTTGGGGCCTTGTCTTCGTTTCGAATCTTTTGTAAGCTTTCATAGTTGTACCTAGTAAATGTATTAACTTGCATATTATTCCAAACATTAAGTTTTGTTAATCATTAGCTAATGATGCTATGGGAAAAATAATAGATAACTGTACTTATGGTTGTATCATATTTATTATTCATGTATATACCTTTCATATTCCCTATCTAAATCACCATAATATTATTCTCCGTTCACAAATGAACGTAATAAATCCGTCTATGTTTTTATAAGCGTAAGTAAGCCGCTTAATTAGCAATATTCGATTTTACTAATGCCTTGACCATGGCGGCATCATCAGCTTAAAAGGTGGTAAAACGACTATTTCTCAAAAGCGGCGGAAGCTGGATGTGACAGAAGCGATGAACAGAATGGCGAAAGTAATCCAAACTGTTGTGGCAATCTCTTTTGACGTATACCGACAATTAAATATTCACTCGTGAAAACTCACCTAAAGCTGAACGTTTTTCTTTATTGATTTAAATTCGGGAGAATCTAGAGTACTATGTGCGGGCACTTGGTCTAGTGGTATGATTCTCGCTTTGGGTGCGAGAGGTCGCGAGTTCGATTCTCGCAGTGCCCCTCCCTCATGGAAGCGGTATGTTCGAGTTTTGTTAATTTGGCGTTACATGCTGAACCCAGGCTTTCGGGACAGAGAGGAAGATTATTGGAGTGTCATCTTCGCTTGATAAATAGCACCAGTTTAATCGATCGACCCCTGTTTCATCTATCAATTGCTGCAGACAAGAGAAAACAAATTCTCGGATTGTTCATGCCGTGGAAAAAACGTTCAATGTGAACGCCGCCGTAGAAATCCGATTAGCCATTTGTTAATTCTGTTGGGTATTCTACCTGTGCGCAGTATTTCCGGCGGAACGAACTGCCGACCTGAATTGTTACCTGCATCGTCTCTTCTCCGTGGACAGCACAGTGCTCTTCCCGCTTGCAGTGACAAGGATGTTTGCCACCTAGTGCCAAAAATTGCTCATGAGCCGAACCAGGATGCGGTTCTGGGGTCAAATTGGTGTGTCACTGGACGTCAACACATTGCTTGTTTACTCTATTTTTCTGTGTGTTTTAATTTCTAAATTTTTTTCCTCGTACCTTTTTCTCCTTTTTGTGGGAACAGTATCAATGTGTGGATTTGTTAACTTTAAGTTTGCATGTAGAGCTGTTTTATTTCATTATTATTACTAGTATACTACGCAAAACGTGACATATATTATATTTAAAATAACTGAAATACTAAAATATATTATATCTTCCCACATGGGTCAGTCAATCTAACCATTCAATACTTGGAAACCTAATAGATTGGAAATGTGTGTATAATTTATCCTAAACGCAATAAATAATACTCGTCACACGGTACTGAAAAAACATCACTTCGTACTGAACATGTTCATGAGTGTTTTCATGGATATCTTGTGATTATCAAAAAAAAACACACATCATAATCACTAAAAAAACTATATTCAGCTCATATATATGCTGATCAACCTCAAAAGATTACTTGTTACCCTAACTTGAACAATAAAACTCTGATCACAAGAATAATAAAATTTCATGAGCCAAATTAAACAATTAAAACTGCAGGAGAAGGAAATTAACTTCGTTGCATACAGGAAAGCACCAGCTCTATGATCTAAAACCAGAAACAGAACAAATACCGATAAAGAAACTCATTTTGCCCCTTCATGTGAAACATTAACAAGTATCTCAGCAAGCCAAATACACAAACAAAACCAAACAGCAACGCTGTAACAACTGAAAGAGTACAGACAGAAGACCAATTTGTCACAACAATATGCACGTTCAATTTGATACCAACAAGATAACAGAACTAAATTAAAAAACTTACAATGCGAATGTACGTAAAACATAAAGAGAAAACACATCATGCTGCTAGAACTGCAGACAATCGACTCAAAAATCAATTGCACCGTACCACCTTCGTAAACTTCACTGACATTGTTCAAAATTATACGGGAAAAAGTATACGTGCTAAAGTGTACGAGAAAATGTGGGTGCACGGCAGGGGCAGGAGGGGGGGAAAGTGGGCAGTAAGAACAGGAGCAAGAGCAAGAGCGAGAGAGAGAGCGCGAGAGAAAGACAGAGTACCGGAAGGAATGACGGAGGGTGGGAGAGAGGGAGGGGGATAGGTCCCCCCCCCCGGTAGGTCAAGCTGCGTGGTATTGCT